TAGGAAATGGAGTGAAATAGCAAGAGATCACCAGATGAGCGGTAAAACATTACATTGACATGACATTGCTGCTAGGGCCATCAACTTTACTCTTTCCATTTCCAGAATGATCGTGGAAACATCATTCAATTGTATTTTTTTTTTTCATTGTTTTGCAGTACTGGGGATGGAACTTAGGGCAAGTGCTGTACTAATTGAGCCCTCGAATGGGTTTTAAATGTTTGAGAATTTAAGAGAATGCTTAACAAAAGCATCCAGAGATGCTTCCTGCAGGAAGTGTCTATTTCAGCCAATTCTCAGTTAAAGTCTGCATTCGTATTTTTCCCAATTAGTGCTACTGAGGTTCAACTCTTAATAGTGAGCTGCTGGTCGTTTGTACAGAGTGGAGTCGAGTGAATTTATTTTGCATTTGTAAGGCAAAAGGTAGTTCGTCTCTAATGTGAAAAAAAAAAAAAGAATTTTCATCCAGCAATGAAGAATCTTCTAACTTCCACTAGTTTGTAAAGATTTGGGCTGAAGTTCTTCAGTGTGAACATCTTTCATGTTTATAGTAAGTGAATTTTTTAAAATTTAAAACTGCTTGATTTTAAAGAGCTGTAACAACATTCAGTGAAGATACACCTTGTTTTAAAGTTTATTTTTACACTGTAGTTTGGATCAATGTATTTTATACTTTGTAGTAAAATGTAACTCAGATTTCTCCAGGCCTTGAAACCCAGACAGTGGTTCTTACTTGATTGTGTCTTCTGTAACAGGTTTCAATAAAGTTGGACCAATTACTCTCTTTGTGTGTTTCCTTACTGTACAGAAAGATGGGTTCTGAACTGTTTTTACTCTGGACTGTATACATGAACTTGGAGAGAATCTATGAATACAGAATTTTTATGGGTATTTCAGCTTCACATTTGCATCTGGTTATGGCTTCATCTGAAGGCAGATTATGGATGTTCTTGTGCAAAGAAAAGGTGTACCAGCAACTATTGGCAGTTGGTTAGATTTCCAGGAAACATGTGCTATGGATGATTGGAGGGAAAGGGTGAAGAAGGCCTGGTGTTTCTTGAGGATGCTGTGATGTCACACCACTTTTCTTATTTCAGGAACAACATGTGGCCCATTTCTTACTTTAGAGAAAGAACTCAGACATATGTTCAGACATTTGAGACTATGATTGATAGCAAAGGGTCAGATTTAGTCAGAATGGGGCCTGTAGGGATTATTGGGTCCTTCTCTACATTGTTAACAAATATGTCAAACTTTAGAGGTCTAGTACCATGTACAGTAGCCACTTGCTGTGGCTATGTAACAAAAATAAAACTAACATGGAATTTCTCAGTCACACTAATCACATTTTAAATGATGGGTAGCCACACATGGCTAGTTTGGGTGATAATGGAAGATTGAACCCAAGGCCTTGCACTTGAATAGTGTATTAATGAATCTAAGAGTAAGTAAGGTGGTGAGGGCCTACGCTGGTCACTATTCTTTTTGTGTGTGTGTGTGTGAAAATACTGTACAGAGGGGTTACAATTACATGGGCAAGATAATGAGTACATTTCTTATCAAGCATTGTAGCCTCCTCCTTTGTTTCCCCTTCCCATCCCATCCTCCCCCTACCCCCCCACACTACCCTCTTCCCCCCCAAACCAAAGTTGTAAAGTTCGTTTTTTACTGATCACTATTCTTAACAGAGCCTTGCCATAACTGGATTGTTACTAAGAAAATACACTATTCACCAAATAGTGCACATTATTCAACACAAGAGAACACACATTTATAAAGGTATTTTATTTTTCAAAAAAATATTTTGCTAGAAGGGTTGAGTACTGCAATTTCACATGATCATAATCTTTTAATAAATTCTTTGTCTGACCAACAGGTACCATTTAAGTAAACAACTTATCATGGTCTGCTTTTGGAACAACCAAATACAGTTAGCACTTCTCTGATGGTATTCCCTAGGTATTACAGGCCAGGAGGCAGAGCCTAGCACATAACAAAGTATGTACTTTATTTAAAACTGTTAATTAACTTGGTTTCTTAACATAATGAAGCAGAATAGATAGTATAGCTAATCACACTGTTAGTTCACCTGAAGGGCCTGACCCACTCAGATCCACAATTACATGTAACCCAGGGAAGCAGTGAAGCACAATTGAAGAGAAAAAGGGTAACTCAGATTGGGTGAGTGCTGTGTCCCAGTTAGGTCTGTTACTGTTTTATTTAAACTATAAATGGAAGATGAGTGTTACTTGTATTCAGTGGTAAGCAGAAAATAAAGGCAAATAAATATTGGCAACAGCAGCTTCTTTTCCCTTAACAAGACTAACTGAAATTTGATTCGCTATGATTCTGGAAATACTAAAAAGTTGAGTTAATCTAAATTCACTGCTACAAATTTAACAGAAAGAAAGGCTACTAGAAAGAAGCAACTAGACCCTGATAGAGAGGCATGGGCAGCTTGCAAGGCCTGCACTCAATCCCAGTGGCACAGGCTGCCTACTTTGTGGTAGCAATGCTTGTCCCACCAACAGCCAGAGTATATTTCAGAAATGTGCTTGGTGCAAGAAAGCAATTACTGCAAACAAGATAAAAGACTCTATTCTAGGACTTGAGCATTTATAAATAGAAGTTTATACTAATCACAGATCATAGAGAAAAACAAAGATGCTAGAACCAAGTTTCATGATGACAGAAATGTATTTAAAACAGACTGAAAATATTCAACATTTAGGCTAAGCCATGCTGGGAGGCACACCTGGGGGTGCCTATCATGCTGGAAGTGAAAGAGTAACTAGATGGATAGCTCAGGCCTCTACTTGTGCCTGGGGGCCTCAGTGCTGACATGGCAACAGATTCTCAGTGGTGGATCTGGCAACTCAAACTCTGGGCAAAAAGATTCCTGCAGGAGCTAGGCATGGTGCTGCATGCCTACATTTCCAAGAGGCTTAAGCAAGAGGATGAGGATCCCAAGTTGAGGCCAGCCTGAGCTACATAGTGAAACCCCGTCTTAAAATTAATACAACAAAAGATTCTCACAAGAGAACAACTCTCCTACATGGTGGGTCTGTCACTGGAAGAAGAGATACTTGCTCACTAAAAGTACGGTTTTTTATTACAAAATATTTTGAGTCAGTTGCCTAGTTACTAGCTACTTTGGTATAGCCAACAAAGGGGGAGAGGATGCCTTGTATACAAATTTAGAAGAATCTTGTGTTGGCATGATTGTGTCTCAAAGCCTAAAGAAGGCATCTTCCCCACTCTTCTCATTGTTCTTAGTTGTGATACCTTACAGCCGTATGGAGTACCTCTACTCAATGGGGCTTGAACTGAGGGCTTTGCCCTCTTGCTTGGCTTTTTTGCTCAAGATTGATGCTTTACCACCTGAGCTCTACCACTTCTGGCTTTCTGTTGGTTACTTGGATATGAGTTTCCAGTGAAGACAATTCAGGCTAGCTTTGAACCAAGATCCTCAGATCTCAGCCTCTTCAGTAACTAGGATTATAGGCTAAGTGTGGAGGACTCAAGACAAGCATATGCTGGTGTTGGGAGCCCTGTGTGTCAACATAGTCTGACAACACTCAATTGTAGGCAATCTACCTTGCTCACACCTAACCAGGCAAATTCAAGTATCTTGTCATTTACTTCATAATTTTCAGTACAAGCTTCTGAATACACACACATTTTCCTTCCTCAGTTGAGAAAAGATAATTAGGTTTAATATATTCCTTTTAAATGTCACAAAAGGCTAAAGATGCTAGATCCCTTGCTTTCATCTTCCTCTTTTTTTGCCAGTACTGAGTTTGAACTCCAAACTTGCTCAGTTGGTGTTTTGCCACTTGAGCCATGCCTCTGACCCTGCTTTTTGCTATTTTGGAGACTGACTTTTCTGTACAACCTGGCTTCAAATTAAGATCTCAGCCAACTGAGTAACTAGGCTTACATGTATAAGCCACTGGGGCCTAGTCCATATCTTAATGCAGCTAAGTATAAAGGCAGAGGGTCACATTTACAGCCTGTCCCCACAGGATGAAGTTGATTAAAAGGAGAAAAAGCAATTTCTGTGCTGGAGTGTCAGGACTGGTTTTACAAAAGCCAACGAGCCCAGGGTGTTGCTGAGATACTAGGGAAGACACAAGGGAAACACTTCTGATACATATACTGAACTCATCGAACTCCCTACCTGTAAGACCTGAAGTCAGTCTTCCCATTCTGAAGTCTGTACTTCAAATACTCTGGATAGAATTTGTTAAATCTTAATGTCTTCCATACAGGATGCAACTTGCAAATTGCTCGTAAGAAAGAATGAATGGGGGCTGGGAAGGTGGCTCAGTGGTAGCGTGCGCCTTGCATGCATGAGGCCCTGGGTTTGATTCCTGAACACCACATAAGCAGAAAAAGCTGGAAGTGGCGCTGTGGCTCAAGTGATAGAATGCTAGCCTTGAGCTGAAGAGCTGAGGGATGACAAAAGAAAAAAAGAAAGAAAAAAAGAAAAAAATGAAAAGAGTGCTCATTGGTCTAACCACTAGTTTGATAGATGCCAAGTTTTTTCATAGGTCAAGAACAGAAAAATCCAAGGAATTCAACATCATAGTGAAAGCCTTTATGAGATTTTTGCCATGTGTTACATTTCCTGATTGAGATCTCATTTAAGATAACAGTCCCCCAAGGCTGCCACCTTTTTCTCATACCTTAATCAATTCTTCCGAAGTAGGAGTTGTGCTTGCCAGCAAGTGTACCTCCACACACAGCAGAGCCACACAGTTAGTTACTTCCTTCTCACCCTTCAAAAGGAATGCATCTTATGCTCTGAGGGAAGTCAGTGAAAGTGCTGCTGGTAAAAGTAAAAAAGGACTGGCTACTCCCAGTCACCCTTTATGCCCCAGGGAACAAATATTCTGAGTTCCACTCTAACAGAAACATCTTGCATTTTTACGTTCTGAGGTTAACGTTTAAACCTGTATTCAGTTCGTGTCTAAGTTTCAAAAGCTGCACCAAATCTACTAGGCTTTTTTTAATACTCTTCACTGCATGCTCTGTCTATGTGCATGCGTTTGGATAATAAATATTAAATATGGGAGGGACACATGGGATCCATACGTTAAAAATGAAACCAAACTGAACATTTAAAAAAGTACATGGTAGCTGGCGAAATGAAAAGGGCAAAAAAATAAATTTGAGGTAATAATAGTGGCCCAATACCACTAGTCTGAAGTATCTGTAAAAATTCAAATAAATGTTTGGAGATTCAAGTAACAAACCATCTGCTCCAACTTGGTCAGACTTGTAGAGTCCCTTCTGAGTCTCAGTCCAGGAGCCGGCACTCACACAGCTCCTTGTAAATCCTCTTCCGTACACGCGGCATGTCTTCTTGAGAGAACTGGAAAGGCTGCTCTAAGGCGAGGCACTTGCAGTACTGCAAAGATCCGCAAACAAGCACTTAAGTTGCACCTGGGGCTGTGCACCAGCCACATGTATTTATAACAGGCAGACCTAACAGTCTGGCTACAAAGTCAAGTTTGTAGCAACTTGTAAAAAACACATGGCTTTACATTTACCTCCAAGTTAGAATCAGTTTTCCAGGCAAATGTGTATTAGGGAATCTCCCTTCCCTGCTGACCCAATACTGAGATAAGCAGCAAAGGATGTATCCTGCATGCAGCTGGGCCTCAAATGGCTGTTAAGTGGGATTTGAATTAGTTTACCCACCCCAGATGTTTATTAGATACAGGAATGAAGAACGTTCCAAGATCTTTGCAAATTCATGGATTATGTGATTTCCTTCATAAATATATGTATTCAAGTTTTTCCATTACGCTTTTAGACAGTTGAGGAGGCCTTCAGCATGAGTTTTTTTTTGTTGTTGTTGCTTGTTTTGTTGCTGATCCTGGAACTAGAACTCTAGGCCTAGGTACTGTCCCTGAGCCTCTTTGTGCTCAAGACTACTGCTCTACCACCTGAGCCACAGAGCCGGCTTTTTTTTGAGTAGTTTATTAGAGACAGGAGTCTCACAGACTTCCCTGCCTGAACTGGCTTCAAACTGCAACCTCAGCCTCCTGAATAGCAAGGATTATAACGTGAGCCACCGGCGCCCAGCCATAATGAGTTTTTTACTAAAGCCCTTATAAAAATGTATTTACTTCAAAGACCTCAGGTTGTCTACCAGTTATTTTTCTAAAAAGTCAATTCTTCAAATGCCGATGGTCTGTAAAAGGACCAACTCAAGTCAGTCTCTGACTTACTACCAATTACTGTTTGTTTTTGGCCTAAGGATAACTTGTAAGTGTAGAAACCACCATATCTCCACTTTCAGGGAGAGAGGGAAAGCTGAGGCCTACATCATGACCACTGCTAACCCTCCTCTCTAAATAGAACAAATTTAACTCAAGTTCTGGGGGAAAAAAAACACCAATATTTCTTTACCTGGAGCACAAAGACTCCACAGTCACTGTCATTTTTCTGTTGTGGAATACACTGAGAGGGAAAAGAAAATGGTCATTAAAATGCGTACTTCCTTCGCAGAAGAGAAAGCTTCTATGTGCAAACAAGCAAGCAACAGAAAAGCTATGTCTTCCCAGTATATACTGCTAGTACATTAAGTACCTAAGTACATCTAGTACATTAACTCTATGGAAGAGGCATTTGGCCACAAAAAAAGTGCAAGCAAGTGGCAACCACAACTTCAAAACATTTATCCGAATATGAGAAATAGAAAAATTAGATAAAGGCTATTTTTGAAACACCCACCTGAATAATTTGTTGTGCTTTCAATTCAAAGACAACAAAAACAAAAATGGAACTGTGGATCAGAGAACATAGGCCTGGACTCTGAACACTAAGATATAGTAACTCTGTTAGCAACCTTCACTTTGAAAAAAGTCAAGTAAAGGTGGACTGTGTTTCCAAAAGCACTGGCTCCTATGTGACCAAGGGGGAACATGGAAGGTGCTGGCTAAGGGGAGAACACACATTCCAGGTAGAGAAACTCAGAACATTTTAAATTCTAATTCTGGTTAGAAACACAACACTGGTGCAGTCCATGGATGAATTACTCTTGTCTTGGTGGGTTTTGGCTCAAGGTCTATGTCAAGACCCTGCCTACAGCACTGGATCAATGATCTATACAGACCTGAGTGCAAACACCTGCATATATCAATAGTTCCACTGTGTTTTAGGGAAAGTTAAACTCAAGCTTCAGTTCTTTCATCTGTAAAACAAAGATGCTGCTTATTCCTAAATAACTTCCTACTTCACAGACTGTAAGGGTAAAATGAGATTATAGGAAAACTCTTCATGACAGGATTTAGGAGGTATCCCTGGGCACTCTGTCCTGCATATAACTTTAGTGTCAAAGGGCCAAACATGATGGGTCTTCTCATGACCCACATTTCCATAAGACTAAAATCATTTTAGCATTATTCTGAGTCAACATAGAAATAAGAGCCACAAGGAAAGTGCTACCTCTAGTCCCAACCAAAATCTTGTTTCCCAGTAGAGCAACATCATTAGCAACTGTCCCAGAGATGAATGAAATGACTGACATTAGCCTGTTCTGGCAAGCACAGGAAAAAAGCAATGAACAGGTTTAATCTAGCTGCCTCCCAACAGCCTCCTCCAGACTTTCCTTGTCACCAGTTTTCACTGCTTCCTATGGACATGTCCGAATGTCATTTGTTTTTTGATGCCAGTAACTGGGGCTTGAACTCAAGGTTCCACATTCTTGCCTGGCTTTTGAGCTCAAGGCTGGTGTCCTACTACACCTCCACTTCCAATGTTTTGCTGGTCAACTGGAGATAAAGGGTCTCACAGACTTTTACCATGATCATCAGATTTCAGCCTCCTGAGTAGCTACCAGCACTTGACTCTGAGTGTCATTGGTATCATACGTACCTTGGTAACAGCAGTCTGCCAACCCTGAAGAAATTCAGGTCTGTTCTTTTCTCTGGCTTCAGTCAGCAAATACTTTCTTATATTCTGGTTAAAAAGAAACCACAACACAGATGTTGTGTTCCATCAGTCTGTGAAAAATGGAACCTACCCACAGCAGACAGAAGCAAAGGAAAAGACTGTGGCCTCAGAAAACTGAGTGGACCTGCATTATAAGTTTAGAGCTGAACAATATTTCAGAACTTGTACTCTATATTGTTATGGCAGACTAAGACTTGTACTATGTGCTCAGAGTATGGATATTGGTATTTGTTTCCAGCAGTAAGTCAACTTGTGGTATTTAGAAATTACAAAAAGGTCTTTTTTCTATGTCTGTCTAGAGCATGAACTCAAGCTCCTAGGCACTGTCTCTTAGCTTTCCTGCTCAAGGGTGGCGCTCTACTTGTTGAGCCACACCTCCATTCCTGGTTCTTTGCTGTTAATTGGAGTTTCACAAACTTTCCTGCTTGTGCTGGCTTCGGACTGCAATTTTTAGATCTGAGCTTCCTGATAAGATAAGATTACAGCGGCATGAGCCACTAGTGCCTAGCCAAAAATGAGGTCTCAATCACTACCAGTATTCCAAACAGGAAAAGACAACATGGTAGAAATAAAACTAAATGAACTACATTCCAGCTCTAGAGAGAATCCTTATTTGTTTTGGTGGTGCTAGAATTTGAATTTAGGGCCTCATACTTACTAGGCAGGAAGTACCATCTGAGCAACTACCCTAGCCCTTTTTGTTTTAATTACTTTGTAAATAGAGTTTCATTAACTTTTTTGCCTGGGCTGACCTAAAACTGCAATCCTTCTAATTCTACTTTCCAATAGCTGGGATTACAGAAATGGACAACAACACTCAGCTGTAACTAGATCTTGACTATGCAGGACATAAAGATCCACTGATTTTTCTGGCTTTTGTATCCCACCTTCTTGTTGAATTATTATTAGTAGTATTAGCAGAAATCTAATATTGTAAGGTTGATTTTCTTGGGTTATGATTTATTCTACATAAGTTAGCTTGAAGATGCAAAACAATCTCAACTCTAAGACACCAAAGAAAATAGTTCCTATTTACATTTAAGATGCAGTTTTAGGTCGAGTGGTGGCTCAAGCCTGTAATCCGGAGGATTACAGTTAGAAGCCAGCCAGAGCACAAAGTTTATAAGACCCCAACCTTAAACATGTAAAAGTGATAACACACATCTTTTATTACAGCTACATGGGAAAGATGAACAGGAAGATCATGGTCCTGGTCTGACCAGGACAAAAAGCAAGATCTTATTGGAAAAGCAAGACAAAAGGTCTAAGAGGGTGGCTCAAGTAGAGAACCTGCCTAGCAAGCCAGAGGCTCTGCGTTCACAGCACAGTACTATGTCCCACCACCAAAAAAAGCAAGTCTAAAGGAAAAGCTGATAAAAATACTACCAAACCCAGAGGAGGATCCAGATTTAACAGCTTCTCCCTGCCAGGAGAGTCTTCTTGCTATCTTATTCTCTGCCAACAGTCCAGCACTTTCCTGGCAGAAACTGTTCCTTTATGTCACAGTCTTCTGCTGCTATATCTAGAGCTAAGCTATAACTTTGCCAACCATAAGACAACGTGAGGAATTAGGCACGATGTTAACTTACCTCTACACAAAACTTAAAATGAATGCCTTGGGAATCATAAAATGAAATAATTCGATTTGAGAGTGTCACAGTAATGAGAGACCAGTGAACTTCCAGGTGAATAGGAATCAACAGAAGACTTTTTTTAAACAAATCCACCTGAATAAGAGAAATAAATGCATCCATCATTACAGAACCAACAAGGAATACCAGCTTTCATTTACTGACCTTTAACCTGCTGAAGGTCATAAAACTAGGAAGTGGTAAATGAAAATTTTAACACAGGTCTTTTTTTTTTTGTCAGTCGTGGGGCTTGAACTCTGGGCCTGGGCCCTGTCCCTCAGCTCTTCAGCTCAAGGCGAGCACTCTACCACTTGAGCCACTTCCGGTTTTCTGGTCGTTTATTGGAGATAGGAGTCTCACGGTCTTTCCTGCCCTGGCTGGCTTTGAACCGCGATCCTCAGATCTCAGCCTCCTGAGTAGCTAGAATTACAGGCGTGAGCCACCAGCGCCTGGCTTAACACAGGTCTTTAAAGCCCATGTAGTAACTGTAAACAAAACAATGAATATTTTTATTTTATTTATTTATTTTTTTGTCAGTTGTGGGGCCTGAACTCTGGGCCTGGGCAACGTCCTGTAGCTCTCCAGTGCTCTTCCACTTGAGCCACAGCGCCACTTCTGGCTTTTTTGTTTTTTGCTTATGTGGTGCTGAGGAATCAAACCCAGGGCCTCATGCACTCTACCACTGAGCCACCTTCCCAGCCCAGATAGTACTGATTTTTATTTAGCCTATCAATATCAACTGAACCTTACTTGCTCTCAACTTGTTTTTGTTTTTATGGTGCTAGAGATCAAGTTCAGGGCATGGCACATACAAAGCAAATGTTTCCCCAGTCATTTTTATTTATGAAAGCAAAATCACACTAGTAGAAAATAGCAAAAGCTATATCTTCCATCTTTGTATCATGGGCTCCAAAGCAAAACTGCTTAGTTCCAATTGTGGCTTTTCCACCTATTGGCAAGATAGTTTCAGCAGTTTTCTCAGCATTCTTTTGTGTGCCCTAATTTCCTCAAATAGAAAATGTAGAAGAGAAAACAAAAGCAGCTGCCCTATGAAGTTGTAGGGAATAGCAAGATAATACATGGAAACATATAAAAAGGTGTTTTTGCACATTGTAAGTAGCCAATAAAAACCATTTATCAGGGGCTGGGAATGTGGCTTAGTGCTTGCCTAGCATGCATGAAGCCCTGGGTTTGATTCCTAAGAACCACATAAATAGAAAAATCTGGAAGTGGCACTGTGGCTCAAGTGGTAGATTGCTAGCCTTGAGCAAAATAAGCTCAGGGACAGCACTGAGGCCCTGAGGTCTAGCTCCAGGACTGGTAAAAAAAAGAAAAAGAAAAACAAAACAAAAAACAACCATTTATCACTATTACTCTCATGTGTCTCTCAGAAACCACATGAAATGACACCCTTATAGGAAAGAGGTATCCCAGTACCAGAGAGAAAAATGCGAATTACATACCAGATAACATGTTTAACAGATGTCTACCAACTATCCTTGGAAATGTGAACACAAAGAAATAAACAGACACTACCTTCAAGGGAAAAACATAGCCTTTATGTCCTAATACATATTCTTTACCACCTAGTGACAGTTGCTATTCCACTCAAAATTTCAGTGTTCTAATAAGGCACCTAGAATCAGCTTTTGGATTCAAAATCCAGAGTGCTAAGCATTACACCATACCAACTAGGTTTTGCTTTCTGAGACATGGTCTCACTGTGTTGTTTGCCCTGGCCTGGAACTCAGGATCCTCCAGCCTCTGAGGCTTGGGTCACCACATTTGGGTACATACAGCACACTTTCAGTTACCTTTATATTCTTAAGATCATTCCTTCAATCGTGCTCTGATATTAGTACATAAAACAACAATTTTTCAAGCAAAGCTCATTCCAGTAGAGGAGAGGGATAGCAAATGTTCTATGATCAGATATAGAAAGTACTAGGAAGGAAAATGAAGAAAGATAAGAGGAGTAGGACATGGAGGCACATATATAATTACAGGCTGAGGCAGGAGGATTAAGAATTGAGGCCAGCCTAGGCTACATAGCAAGACTTTGTCTAAAAAAAAAAAAAAGAAAAGAAAATGAGGGAGAGAGTCTTACATACATCAGAGGGAAGACCCTTCTAAGCAGTGGGAACAGGCAGTGAAATGCACTTAAGACAAAAGCATGCAGCAGGGTGCCTATGTGGCTGCAGCATGGGACTGCTGCAGGGAAGAAGAGGAAACAGAACATTTGGTTTAATCTGGTTACCAACTCATCAATTCTAGAAGTACACTGTCTATTGCTTTCCCTCAGAAAAGATGAAGACGCCTCTGAGGGTAATTTTGCTATTACTCTGATTCAGTATTTCCTTGTGCAACTGAGCAATCTGAGGGTCAGCAAATTTAGTGTCTTACCTGAATTGCACAGAAAGCCAATAACGTTGTAAACATTTAACCCCCAGCCTAGCGCTCTTTTAGTTATACCATACTCTAGTATACTGGATAGCTAAAGAGTTTTACTAGTGTTTTATCTTTCAATCAGTAAGTATATTTTTTTGGTGGGGGGGGGTCAGTTGTGGGTCTTGAACTCAAGGCCTGGGCACGGAGCTTTTGTGCTCAAAGCTAGCATTCTACCACTCTGAGTCACAGCTCCATTTCTGGTTTTCAGGTAGTTAATTGGAGGTAAGAGTCTCCTGCCCAGGCTGGCTTTGAACCGCAATCCTCATATCTCAGCCTCCTAAGAAACTAGGATTATAGGTGTGAGCCACCAACTCCCAGCCAACCAGTATGATTTTTTAAAAAGTTAAACTCACATTGGAAAGTCTAATTAGGCTGGGAGCCAGTGGTTCACTCCTGTTATCCTAGCTACTTAGAAGGTTGAGATCTGAAGACTGTAGTTCAAAGCCAGCCTGAGCAGGAAAGCCCATGAGATTCTTACCTCCAAATAACCACCAAAAAGCCAGAAGGGGAACAGTAGCCAAGTAGTACAGCACTAGCCTTGAGTGAAAAAGCATAGGGATAACACCCAGGGCCCTGAGTTCAATCAAGCTCAGACCAGACATGAGCCACCAGCAGCTAGCTGTATAACAAGTTCAGAGAAAAAGAAAGTTTTAAAGTCTAATTAGCATTTTGGCATTTAGGTTCTTAACATTATACCCAAAGTAGCTATGCACTTCAAATTCCAAAGGAAGACTACCTTTTTAGTCCATCTCTTAACTCCATTATATCCTTTGGTCACCAGCTGTCTATGGAAAAAGCTGTTGAAGAAATGAACCTAAAACAGAGCAAACAGGTTATATCAGGCTATGCTGAGATAGAACTTCAAAGGAAAATGAAAATTTAAATATGCCTGAACATAACATAGACAAAAGGGGAAGAGACATTTCTTCTAAAGAAATAATGATCAAAATATAGAAAATACATTACATGCTTTACAGAAGATTCTCTTCAACTGTTCATTAGAATGACCTTATAGCTGTGGTCTAGTCAGAACTGGAACAGGATTGTTAGCAGATTACCTGAATCCAATCAAGTAGAAAGGCAACCTGACAAATCTCTCCAAATCAGGTGATAAAGTTGAAAGAGGCTATGAAAAAATGAGGTAGCGATTACCTAGAACTCAAGTGATATGCACTACAAAACTAATGTACCTGAAGAATTCATGTTTGGAGACTCGTGAACAGTAACTACAGAAAGGTCTGAGTACATTTGTAAGTAGTATCTTCTGAGATGGATGGGATCTATATTCTGCCTTGTTTTTCCACCGCTAGGAATGGAACTGTACCTCATGCACACTAGGCAAGTGCTCTGAGACCACTGAGCTGCACCCCAGCCCCATACAGTTGTCTTTAAAATATTCATTCTTTGACTCACTTAATTAAAACTGTACCCTTAGTGCTATGGCTGTCAAGATGTGGTCACCAAACCAGAAGAAAGAATCAAAGTCACCTGGGAGCTTTCATCAGAAAACTGGCCTCCTCCCAGACCTGCTAAAGCAGAAACTTGAAAAGTAGGGCCCAGCAATCTGTTTGTGTAAATCTTCTAGCACATTTTTTTTTTTTTTTTTTTTGGTCAGTGATGGGCTTGAACTCTGAGCGTGGGGCTGTCCCTGAGCTCTTCAGCTCAAGGCCAGTGCTCTACCACTTGAACCACAGTGCCACTTCAGGTTTTCTAGTGGTTTATTGGAGATAAGGGTCTCATGGACTTTCTTGCCCGGGCTGGCTTTGAACCATGATCCTCAGATCTCAGCCTCCTGAGTAGCTAAGATTACAGGCATGAGCCACCGGTGCCCAATTTCCCGCACATTTTTTCAGGAAAATTTCAGCTAAACATGAATAAAAAGAGGATGCAGTACCTGTCTCTGGAGCAGTGTCACTGAAAGCAGGTGCACATCAGAATCTTCAAGGTTTGCTAAAGAACCACTGCCTTAGCCAGTGGCTCTCATGCCTGTAATCCTAGCTACTCAAGGGGCTGAGATCCGAGGATCACGTTCAAAGCCAGCCCAGGCAGGAAGGTCCATGAGACTCATCTCCAATTAACCACCAAAAACCGGGAAATGGTGCTGTGGCTCAAGTGGTAGAGTGCTCACCTTGAGCTGAAGGGCTGAGGGACAGTGCCCAGGCCCAGAGTTCAAGCCCCATAACCAAAAAAAAAAAAAAATTACCATGAAGATTCAGTACATTGAAATGTACAGATAATGAAGATAAACTAAAGGTTTAAACTTGAACTGTGGTGACACATTTCCCTCATGATTACAATTTATAATGCATCACAGATTTGTGGTTGTTTTTGCTTTTTGTGCTGGTATTGGGGCCTGAATTATGAGCCTTGTTCTCTTGCTAGTCTTTTTCTGACACTCAAGCTGGCACTCTACCATCTGAGCTTTGCTTTTGGTTTCAGGTTTGTGGTTTTAAACAAAAAGTTAAACTTTGTTCCTACACTCTTAAACAGCACTAAAATCTGATATTTATGTTTAAATTATCTTATTTATATCAGTTACATACACATACACACACACACACACACACACACACACACACACACACAATTTATATAACTTATACCCAGGCTTGAACTCAAACCCTACGCACTCATTTGGCTTGGTTATCCATGACTGACACTGTACCACTTGAACTATGTCACCAGCCCAGATTTGAGATAGACTTTTCTAGGCTAGCTTCTAACCTGATCCTCCAATCTCAGTCACCTGAGTAGCTAAGACTATAGTTATATGCCACAGGCACCTGGCTAAATTATTATTTTCTTTTTTTTCTTTTGCCAGTCCTGGGCTTGAATTCAGAGCCTGGGCACTGTCCCTGAGCTGCTTGTGCTCAAGGCTAGCACTCTACTACTTGAGCCACAGTGCCACTTCTGGCTTTTTCTGCTTAATGTGGTACTGAGGAATCGAACTCAAGGCTTCATGCATGCTAGGCAAGCACTCTACCATTAAGCCACTTTCCCAGCCCTAAATTATTATATTTTAAAAGTTCCACAAAGTATTGTTCTCCAGGTGTGTGTGTATAGGTGAGTACTGAGGCTTGAAATTGGGGCCTAGGTGCTGTCCTTCAGCTTTTTCACTCAAGGTTGGAGCTCTACCACTTGAGCCACAGCTCCATTTTCCTGCTTTTTGGTTGTTAACCAGAAATAAGAGTCCTAAAGACTTCCATGCACAGGCTGACTTCAAACCCCAATCTTCAGATCTCGGTCTCATAAGTAGCTAGAATTATAGGTATGAGCCATCAGTGCCCAGCACTTATTTATGTGTGTGGTTTTTTTCATCTTTCTTTGAAATGGGTCTCGCTCTATACCCCTGGCCAGTGTCCAGCTTTTGATCCTCTGACTCAGACTCTTCAGTAACTAGCTAGGATCACAGTTGTGAACCACACATCTGTTTCATGCAGTATCTGAATACTCAAAATTAATAAATTCAAAAAGTTTTAACATGTAAATTCACTTAAAGAGAACTAAGTTCTGTTTAAGATAATTTACTGGGAGTTTGATTACTGTAATTATATAACAAGGACTGCTTTAGCATCCTGATGACTGGGATTACAGATTTGAGTTACCTTGTCTGTCTTAAGCATCTGTTTTGTTTTTTTTTGTTTTGTTTTGTTTTTGTCGGTTGTGGGGCCTGAACTCTGGGCCTGGGCACTGTCCCTCAACTCTTCAGCTCAAGGCTAGCAGCCTACCACTTGAGCCACAACACCACTTCCAGCTTTTTTCTCCTTATGTGGTGCTGAGGAATCGAACCTAGGGCCTCATGCATGCAAGGCAAGCATTCTACCACTGAGCCACCTTCCCAGCCCAAGCATCATATGTTTGATACTTAGAAAATGTAAAGTTGAGTCCTGCTTTACTTTTTTTTTTGGTGTGTGTGTGCTGGTCCTGGGGCTTGAACTCAGGGCCTGGGTACTGTTCTTGATCTTTTTTGCCATTTGATCCACAGCTCTACTTCTGTTTTTTTGAGAGGGTTTTGTTTTGTTTTTTGATGCTTAGTTGGTGACAAGAGTCTTATGGACTCTCCTGCCTAGGCTGGTTTTGAACCATGATCTTTAGATCTCAGCTGCATGAGTAGGTAGGATTACAAGCATGAGCCATTGGTGTCTGGTTCCACTTTACATTTTTAAAGAGAATGTAACATTGAAGCTTAAGTAATAATGGTATCTCTAACAATAATAAACTACTTAGAAAATAATCCTTGTACCTCTCGGAAAAAACAAACCCTTTAAGGTAGTAATGAATGTAGCCACTCTGACACAAAAGAGAAACCACTAGTACTGTGACTTTCTTTTTTGTTTGGTTTTTTTTTTTAACTGTATTTTTTTTGTCTTTTCTTTTTTGGTACTGGGGATTGAACCCAGGACGTTGCACTTGCTAGGCAAGCGCTTTGCCACTGAGCTACATCCCAGCCCAGTACTGTGACTTTCTTAAGCAGAAATAATTTGATAAAAATTATGACCAGGGGGCTGGGAAGTTGGCTCAATAGTAGAGTGCTTGCCTCACATCCATGAGGCCCTGGGTTCGATTCCTCAGCACCACATCTGCAGAAAAAAGCTGGAAGTGACGCTGTGGCTCAAGTGGTAGAGTACTAGCCTTGAGCTGAAGAGCTGAGGGACAGCGCCTAGGCCCACAGTTCAGACCTCATGACTGGATCCCCCCCTTCCCCCCGCAAAAAAAAATTATGACCAGGGGCTGGGAAGGTGGCTCAGTGGTAGGGTGCTTGCCTTGCATGCATGAGGCCCTGGGTTCAATTCCTCAGCACCACATAAGCTGGAAGTGGTGCTGTGGCTCATGTGGTAGAGTGCTCGCCTTGAGCTGAAGAGCTGAGGAACAGCACCCAAGCTCAGAGTTCAGGACCCATGACCGCCAAAAAAAATATTATGACCAATGCTAACACATAATCAAGACAAAATCCAGTCTATTTTTAAAATCTAAGGGCTATTAGAGTTTAAAAAAAAAAAACTTGTTTAGTACGAGGAAGTTTTCACTTACTTTGTCTGGAACTGCATCCATTATTAGCTCACCATACATATTAATGACCTATTAAAAAAAATACAACTAGCTTAGCTTACTGACCTTGTACAATTTACAGCATCCCAAGAAGAATGAGTAACATATACCAGTGATAGTAATAAAATCACTTAGCTCCTGGGGTTAGTGAATGAGTCACTTAAAGACTGTGCTAGGCTAGTGGCTCATGCCTGTAATCCTAGCTACTCAGGAGGCTGAGATCAGAGGATCACCGTTCAAAGCCAGCCCAGGTAGGAAGGTCTAATTAATCACCACCAGAAAACCGGAAGTGGTGCAGTGGCTCAAGTGGTAGAGTGCTAGCCTTGAGGTGAAGAGCTGAGGGATAGCGCCCAGGCCCAGAGTTCAAGCCCCACAACCAACAACAACAAGACTCAAGAGGTACTGTGCCTTTGAGGCAAGAGGTACTATACCTTTGAGGCAAGTGCAAGGCTCTTAGTACAAATCTCAATACCTCCAAAAAGCAAAACAACAACAAATCCTATGTTCTAAAAGGCAAGTATGAAGCCATCCCCAAGGTTCTATTTTGTTGACCAACACCTGTGCAAGTTTTCTTCCCTCAGAACCTATGAGGAACTTGCCTGGTCATTCAGCCAGTTCTGACCATCCAGGGTAGTCAGATCATCCATGTCCAGCATGTGCTTATTGTAGAAGATTCGGAAGTTGCATTTTTGATGTCTGGCACGATAGTTTGTTATTTCTTTATTGATAAATGGTTTTCTGAAACAAAGGTTTTGAAAGAAATTATTTTTTTCCCTCCTAAGCGAATAAAAAAGTCATGTATGGTAATAATTTTAGAGTTTAGATTCAGCATAATTGCATACCTATTAGAAAAGTCTTCATTAAAGACATCTTTTAATCTTCCAAGGACGTCCTTTTCACTCAGTGGGACTAAACTCCCATACTTTTTCATAGTCTCATCTAGGAATCCTACATAAAGAAAAAAAGACTCAATAAAAAACATTTCAAGCTGGGCACTGGTGGCTCACGCCTGTAATCCTAACTACTCAGGAGGCTGAGATCTGAGGATTGTGGTTCAAAGCCAGCTCAGGCAGGAAAATCCATGAAACGCTCATCTCCAATAAACCACCAGAAAACTGGAAGTGGTGCTGTAGCTCATGTGGTAGAGTGCTCGCCTTGAGCTGAAGAGCTGAGGGACAGCACTCAGGCCCAGAGTTCAAGCCCCAGACTGACAAAAATTAAAAAAAAAACTGCTTCTCAGGAGGCTGAGATCTGATAATCGCAGTTCAAAGCCAGCCCGGGCAGGAAAGTCCGTGAGACTCTTATTTCCAATAAACCGCTAGAAAACCAGAGGTGACACTGTGGCTCAAGCGTTAGAGCACTCGCCTTGAACTGAAGCGCAAGGACAGCACCCAAGCCCAGAGTTCAAGCCCCACGACCGACCCCCCCCCGAAAAAAAAAAATCAGCAAAATTATTCTCAAACTTTTTTTTTTGAATACTGGCTGGTCTTTAACCATTACACTCATTTCAGTTGGTTCATATGTTTAGTAACTTTTTTTTTGGGTCCAGTCATGGGGCCTGAACTCTGGGCCTGGGGGCTGTCCCTCAGCTCTTCAGCTCAAGGCTAGCGCTCTACCACTTGAGCCACAGCGCCACTTCCGGCTTTTTTCTTTTTGCTTATGTGATACATAAGGAATCGAACCCAGGGCCTCAGGCATGCAAGACAAGTGCTCTACCACTGAGCCACCTTCCCAGCCCAGCAAAATTATTCTCAATATTTAACCAATATAAAACAATACATACTTATCCCTATTATAATACTTTTGTTTTGTTATTTTTTGGGGCCAGTGTTGGGTCTGGAACCAGGGCTGGGCACTGTCCTTGAGCTTCTTTTCTCCAGGCTAGCATGCTACCACTTGAGCCATAGCATCACTTCAGGCTTTTTTCTGCTTATGTGGTACTGAGGAATCGAATTCAGGGCTTCATACATGCTAGGCAAACATTCTACACTAGGCCACATTCCCAGCCTACCTTCAGCTTTTTTTTTTTTTTTTTTTTTTTTACCAAGGCTAGCACTCTACCACTTAAGCCCACAGCTCCACTTCCAGCTTTATGGTGATTAAGTGGAGATAAGATTTTCATAGACTTGCCTCCTTGCTGGCTTCCAAGCATGATCCTTACATCTAAGGATTACAGGCCTGAACCACTGGTGTCTGGCTACTTCAAAGGTTTTATAGCTGTCTTGTAACTTGTGACTATCTTTACAAAATATTTGACTTAAGTTTTTAAATGAGTAACTTTCTGTTTACACTCATACTTCTTCAGTTTGTACAAGTGAGTAAAATTAAGAAACTGCACTAACTTTACTAAGTATAAGTTACTGGGCTGGGAAGGTGGCTCAGTGGTAGAGTGCTTGCCTTGCATGCCTGAGAACCTGGGTTCGATTCTTCAGTACCACATAAGCAAAAAGAAAAAAGCTGGAAGTGGCGCTGTGGCTCAAGTGGCAGAGAACTAGCTTTGAGCTGAAGAGCTGAGGGACAGTTCCCAGGCCCAGAGTTCAGGCCCCACGACTGGACCCCAAAAGAAAAAAAAGGTTACTAAACATATGAATCAACTGAAATGAGTATAATGGTTAAAGACCAGCCAGTATTCAGCATACTATGGAACTCAACTTTGGCTGACATTATAGAAGTCAGTTAAGGGAGCATTTATATTTATTGCTAGTTTTTTTGGGGGGTGGGGATGGGGGAGGAAGCTTCTGAAGATTGAACATGACCTTGCTCGTGGTAGGTAAATAATCTACTGTTTGAGCCACACTCTTAGCCCTTTTTTATTTAGTTTCTTTTTTTTTTTTTTTTTTTGTTGGTCACGGGGCCTGAACTCTGGGCCTGGGCACTGTCCCTCAGCTCTTCAGCTCAAGGCTAGTGCTCTACCACTTGAGCCACAGCCCCACTTCTGGTTTTTTCTGTTTATATGGTTCTGAGGAATCGAACCAAGGGCCTCATGCATGCAAGGCAAGCACTCTACCACTGAGCCACCTTCCCAGCCCTTTTATTTAGTTTCTGAATCAGGATCTTTCTGCTACTTTTGTCTGGGCTAGCCTCAAACACAATCCTCTTAACTCCACTTCCCAAGGTGATATACAGAGAGGTTACAGTTACATAAATCAGATATTGAGTGCATTTCATTTTGAACAGTGTCATCCCCTCCCTCATTTTCTTCCAGTTTTTTCCCTGGCTGCCCCCTGCCTACCCCCTTAATCTTGATTACTTAGGTTTAGTTCTGCTTTGTTTTATTTTGCAGTGCTGGATAATGAGACCCGGGCCTTCTATGAAAAGACAATTTGTTTAATAAAAAAAAAAAAACATTCTTCTTATAAGCTTATTTCTACTTGGGTAACTTACAGAGAGTATGTCACTGTCATGGACAATAGCTATTGGGTTGCCCTGAACTACTGCTTCTTCTTTTTGATAGTACAAGGGTGTTTTTTTTGTTGTTGTTTTGGTTTTTTCCAGTTGTGTAGCTTGAACTCTGGGCCTGGTGCTGTCCTTGAGCTCCTCAGCTTAAGGTGAGTGCTCTATCACTGAGTACCTCCTGAGTAGCTAGGACAACAGGAGTGAGCCACTGGCAACTGATGAGAAACTTACACTCAGTTGTTGGAAAGTGTTAAGAATTGTTTTAACAGCCAAGAAGTAACTCTCCTAATTCACCAGAAAAAGCCATTTGTAACAATTTAGTATCTGTCCAGACAGGTCCTATACAAATACACATATGTGCATATTCTTTCCTACCTAAACACTACCGTAATCATTTATTTTAGTGCTGGTCCTGAGCCTTGAACTCAGAGCCTGAGTTCTGTCCTTGAGCTCTCTTGTTCAAGGCTAGCACTCTACCACTTGAGCTCCATTTTTGGCTGTTTTGGTGCTTAGATGGAGATCAGAGTCTCATGGACTTCCTGCCCAGACTGGCTTTGAACAGCAATCCTCAGATCTCAGCCTCCTAAGTAGCTAGGTATGAGCCACTGGTAACCAACTTTTATGCATTAATCTTTATAAAATTATATCATACCATTTCTGCAACTTGCTGTTTTGATTTTATATATATCAACTTCTTCCAGTATCAAGATACAAATCGGGCTGGGAAAGTGGCTCAGTGGTAGAGCGCTTGCCTTGCATGCCTGAGGCCCTGGGTTCAATTCCTCAGCACCACATAAGCAAAAAGAAAAAAGCCGGAAGTGGTGCTGTGGCTCAAGTGGTAGAGTGCTAGCCTTGACCTGAAGAGCTGAGGGACAGCACCCACGCCCAAAGTTCAGGCCCCACAACCGGACCCAAAAAAAAAGATACAAATCAAAGCTTTGAGTACTTCTATGCAAACACATTTTTACTGTTTCATCTCTAAGATAAATTTGAAGCCAGGGAATATATTAAAGATTAAAAATATTATTTTATCTTCCAAAATCATTATACCAATTTACTTCCTGGTATACATTTTTTTCCAGTAAAAATTGGAAGTCATTTAGTGAAACATACATTTTTACTGTGTAAGGACTAAAAACTTCTGTCAAAAGTCAGTGCTGGGGGATACTGAAAAACTTTTACAAGGCTGGGAATGTGGCTTAGTGGTAGAGTACTTGCCTAGCATGCATGAAGCCCTGGGCTCGATTCTGCAGTACCGGGTAAGCACCCAAAAAGATGTCAATATTTAACAAAGAACTATTGTATGAACTATGATGGGATCTGTTAGCGAGTTTAAGAAGACTGAACTAGTTTTTTAGTTTAAGTTTACTAGGTTAAATTACTAGTAATTTAACCATTCTTTTTAAGTTTGATTTTTAAGTAATTTTAACCATTCTTTAAAATTTTCTTAACAAAAAAAGAATTTAACTTACAAGCACAATAAAAATAAAAAGTTACTGCAACATAAGTTCATAGAAGAAACAACTGGAATAAAAATCCAAGTGTCCATCAATCAAAAATAATTTATGAAGCATCTATATAATATAGCAATATAAAAGAAATTTAGAATATCCAACCACAGCTGGGTGCTAGTGGTTCATGCCTATGCCAGCTACTTAGGAGGCTAAGATCTGAAGATTGAGGTTCAAAGCCAGCCTAGATAGCAAAGTCCATAAGACTGTAACTAACAAAAAAAGCTGGAAGTAGAGCTGTGGCTCACATACTAGAGTGCTAGCCTTGGGCAAAAAAGTTCAAGGACAGTGACCAGGCCCTGAGTTTAAGCACCAGGACTGGCACCAAAAAATAAAATAAAATCTAACCACTTAAAGGGAATGCCATGTGTGGGAGGGGAAAAAATAGAACTCTTCTAGAAAGAATAATGGACAGCAAATGTGGGCAGAGGTTGTAGAACAAAGATTACATACCAGAAAGGCAGCTTGAGAGCTGTTCATCATCCACTGCAGAAGTTTTCTGACTGTGCTTCCCACTTCCCATTTGGTTTTCGAGTTTGAGTTCATTGCATACCAGGGGAGCTTCCAGTGGACTTTTACAGTAAGGGTGGTCCAGCAACTTAGAACTAAGAATGTTCTGCTTGAGAGGTCCATCCTCCTCCATCTGGTAAGAGTTCTCATTTTGAACAGTCTCTTCAGACACAGGCCTATCTACAGTGCTCACAGATTTCTCTGCTTCAGACACTGACAGCTTTAGGCTGTCATTAGTAACAGTGTTTGTTCGACTTTCCTGACCCAGAGTCACAATTTCTCTTTCAGTTTCTGAGGTGAACATGTTACCAGAATGATGTTCTGCTAAGGGGATGTCATGGATCGCCTCTGTACATTCCCACTTAGGAGCACAGGGTGACTGGTCCCAGGTATATGTAGCACTGCCATTCTGTTGGTCAGGGAATGCTCCATCCAAACTAAGGTCCTTGTCCAAGAAAGAGCTTCCTTTAGTGTGGCCATCAGGCATGAGTGAGTTCTTTCCCTTTACCCCAACACTGCCATCCATATTTGGAAAGTATGGTAGGTGCTGACAAGAAGATTCTTTAGGTTCTGGGGAAGAAAATGGGCTGCAATTGCCACTCTCAGTGTTGTCCTTAAGGTTCTCTTGATGATCCCCAGTGACTTTCTGTACCCAGCTTCGCTGGGCTTTTCTTAACTTGCAAACTTTGCCTTTTGTTCTGAAGTGTTGCAATCTGAGAATCCTATACCGAAATCTAATCATGGATAGTTTCTCATACATCATAAGAGAAGACACTTTTATTTTTCGATGTTGGTTAAGTTGTAGCTTCTTTGGAATCAGGGATTCCCCATTCCCGAGATGCTCCAGCCCTTGGTAACAGCCATAATAAAAGCGTTTTCTCTTATGATTGCTCAAGGTGACCACAACCTTGCTGCTCTTACCTGGTCTTTGGCTCTCCCCATTGAACTTCATGGGAAAGTCAGAAGCTTGTGACTCTGTCCTAGGTTTGTGACCATTGGCCTGATCTGAAACAGTATTTGCTGATAAATCAGCAACTGCTTTCAAGAGACTTTTCTCTCCACAGTATTCATGGTCTGAGTTCTTTGTTATTGACAGCAACTTATTTGCTTGAAGTTTTGGAAGACTCCTTGAGGAAGAAATGAAATGCTTACTGTCCTTTCTTTTCACTTTAGAGGTCAAAGTACTGGCATTTTGAATAGGCACTCTGGACTTGGTCTTAACACAAAGAGGTTCACCCTGGATCCACGTTTTCTGGATGTTAAGGGCCTCCTTGCTACACTGGAAATGCCTCAATTGTCTATTCCAAGTAGCTGGTCTTCCCAACTTAGCTTTCAGAATGCACAAATGTTGGTGAAAATAGAATTTCTTAAAGCCTCCAAATCCTGCACTCCATTTCTCAGAAAAGGTTAAGTGGATTCCTTTCCTCCATGGAACTTTCTTGTGTTTTTTCATTTTTCTGATGCATAGTGAGAACTTGCAGCTACAAAGGAAATGTAAAGAAAAGTTAAAATGTAAAAATATCATCAGGAAGACACTCACGAAACAATTAAGACAGAAAACTAAAAAGAGTATATGCAATTCAATTTAGACTGTCAGAGATGATGAAATCATGCCTAATGGTTTCCACTGCAAGGAAAAATGGAGATAAAGGAAAGCATGAACAATCAAACAAGACTTTATTTTTAAGACTTAGAAAAGGCAGGGAAGGTGGCATAGTGGTAGAGTGCTTGTCTAGCATGCATGAAGCTCTGGGTTCTATTACTCAGCACTACATAAAGCAGAAAAAGCCAGAAGTGGCACTGTGGCTCAATGGTAGCACGCTAGCCTTGAGCTGAAGAGCTGAGGGACAGCAACCAGGCCAAGTTCAGGCCCCAGGGCCAACAAAAATAAATAAATAAATAAATAAATTTTTTTTAAACTTGGAAAAAATTGTATCAAGTGAAATAAGCCAGACCCAAAGAAACACAAATAGGTTACATGGTTTCCCTCATTTATTGTAACTAGAAAGTGCCTGTAAATCTACAAGTAAACACACTGGATGTTTAAAAAAAATACACTTGGGCATGATAAATTATACAGGACTCTAGATATTCACACAGTAAAACCAAAGGAAGATATTCTTAGGAGAGGGTCACAAAGACTCAATAGCTATGGGCATATGATCAAATAAAATGATGTGTATTGAAATAAAGTCCAAAAATGGAAACAAGCAGTTTTATGTTATTTTGCTTCTTTTTGTTGTTTTCTCCTTTGTTACTGTTTTTTATTTCTATACCTTTTGTCTTTTATGTAAGTTTATCTGTCTTAGGGAAGGTAAAAGAGAGCACAGAAATGGTAGGACAGCCGGGCGCTGGTGGCTCACGCCTGTAATCCTAGCTACTCAGGAGGCTGAGATCTGAGAATCGCGGTTCAAAGCCAGCCCGGGCAGGAGAGACTGTGAGACTCCTATCTCCAATAAACCACCAGAAAACCGGAAGTGGCGCTGTAGCTCAAGTGGTAGAGCACTAGCC